CACTTACCTCCATCCAAAAACTTTGGATGGAGGTAATGCTACAGTATCTTGATTTGTCTACATTTATGCTTTGCAGATTACATTATTTGCAATGTTTAATGGTGTTGCCCTGTCTTATTTTTCTTTTTTCAAACCAGTGGAACATGCAGCAGCTGTGTTCAGAGCCCTTCCCATGCTTTTCCCTTCCAGCACAGTACCACCTAAGAAGCTGGGCATCTGTAGTGAGGCTTTTTTCCATGTCCTAAAGGTAAGGCTGCAATATTCTATGTGTATATATTGTTGAATTTTGCAGTTACTCATGTTTTCATTTTATATATTTTACTGTGGAGTCAGTCAAATATTCTTAAAGTTCAGATCCCCATAACATGTTGATGTTAATAAAACCTACAAAAAAAGTTGATCTATTTTAAACTGTAATGCAACTCAAAAATTGTGTTTCTTACAGTCTTGTTCTAATACTCTTTTTTTCTGTCATGTAGACTTCAGAAGACCCTGAAGGCTACCTGCGTCAGCGACCCCTGGCTTGTCCAGTTCTGCTTGTCTCTGAAGGCAACTGCATGATAGCTGTTGGAACCACACCGGTGAGCACTTTTGACCGGAAGGATCTTAATGAGGGACTGCTCTATCTGATGGCATATTACTATGCCCTCCACCTCACATATCCATAGTGCATTTCCACGCTGCTGTCTGTCTTGCAAACTGAAATACTCAAAGACTCCATCCATGACCGAGATTCAACCCCCTCTTACAAGAAGGCGCTTGGTGAGTGGAAGTCATTCATTGAGTGAGTCTCCCAGATGACAGACTCCATCTGCCTTGTTTATCAGACTCAGTGTTAGTCAGTGAGGTTGTTTTTTTTTCTATAGAAAAGTTGTTCAAATGTAAAACACATGTTTGTTTGTGTGGTCGTTAAACTTGTTCTTCTAAAATGTTATGTAATATAGGATTTGAAATAGTGATTGTTTTAAGCTTCAGCAAAATTTATTTTTGATACCAGCCATGAGTGTGTTATACTGTTATTATTCATTTTAAGAGTATCTGGAATATGCACTTCTTATATTGGCCATGTTACACAGTACCCTGCTGAAATGTATAATTTTAGGCATGATTCTCCTGGAACAGACCTCAGTGAGTTACTGACCCATTGCTGTGTCAATAAAAGCGCAAAATCTAAGAGTGCTTTTGCTGTCTTAATTTAAGATGAATTCCCTTATTTTTAGTAGCTTTTTGAAGAGATGGTGTCTTATTCTCAGGAATTTTTGCTGATTATTGTTCTCAGAGTCGAAACAAAATTCTTATAGTTAGCTCAATCAAGAAAGAAACAATTCAGTTTTAAGAAAATTTGTCCTATAGTAAGGTGTTTTTTTAATGTGAAAAATCTAAATTAAGGTGTAGAATCTTAAAGTAAGCAAATAATTCTTGAAAACAGCTTGTTCAAGAAAGCATAATACTCATTTTAGGTGCAGATTTTCTAAATATCAAAGTGTCTTTTACTTATAATAAGTCACATTTTCTTCAAATAAGCATACATTTTAGACAATTTTGTCTAGTTAAAAGGCATATGGCAGTTAGATTAATTTGCTAGTTTTAAGAATTCTAGTCAAGCAACTTTTGCTTACCCCATTGGCAGATTTTTTTGCTCAAAACAAGAAAAATTTGTCAGATTTAAGAATATTTGGCTTGTTTCAAGTATAGCTGTTTTTGCAGTGTACGAATACTGGATTTCAGGAAAGCAAACTGATTTTGTTAGGAATTGATGGTTTATTTCCTGAGTCAGTCGATTTAGACCTCCATTAGCATTCCTTTGAATTTATTACAAAGAAGTACAAAACTGTCCTTTCTTTCATTTCATTTTGTATTTTCAAACTCCTGAAGGCATTCTTACATATGTAATTTAACCTCCTAAGTCCCGAACTCTTCCATGGCATGCATTTCTAATTTCTCTTTGATATTTGGGCTGATTGGGACCCGATGAATGTAAAACCAAGATTCACCAGATTTTTTTTTTTTTACCCGATTTTTGTTTCTAAGAAAAATGAGAGCCACATATGAAGACATTCATTTTAAATTTTGATAAAACAGAAGCAGTATAATGTCCTCGCAAGGGGATATCAGGCCCTTGTGGAGCTAAATTTAATATTTTGGTCTAGACAACCCAAAATGTGATGTCCACATATGTGGACGCCAGGTCATAGGAGGTTAAAACACAAATATTAAATTGCACTGGGTTATTTTACATTTCAAATTTCCAATGAAAATGATAAAATATATTTGCAAACGTCGAAATGAAAGTAAACGTGGAGTTATTGGAATTTCATTGCACTCATACTGTCTTGGGAGTTTTGTATTTTTTTTTAACCTTTTTGGGGATATTTCTCTGTTGGTTTCTTTATGTTTATGTTCTTTGGTCTTTTCCTCATAGTTTTTTGGGTTTCATTCATGATTATATTTTGTATGTACTTAGTTGCTTATTTCAACACCTACAATTAAATTGTAGGTGCTCCACACCAACTGTGCCAGATTAAAATATAAATATTAGACAGGAGAAATATATACAATCAATAAATACAACCAAGAGGGATATATACAAAATAAGAGAAATATATACAAGAAAAAGGCACACATTGGAGAACAAAATGGTTGCAAATTGCTCAGAGGTAATGCAAACAAGACACTTAGTCTGAATAGGGTTGGTGTAGGAGTGGCCTGAGCAGAGATGGGCAGTAACGCATTACTTGTGACGCGTTACTGTAATCCGATTACTTTTTTTCAAGTAACGAGTATAGTAAGGGATTGCTGTTGCAAAAACGGTAATTAGATTACCGTTACTTTCCCGTAAGCACGCTGCGTTACTGCGTTACTACGTTACTGCGTTACTACGTTACTAAAACCGTGATTTTTTTGCGAGAATGTCTCATGACAGTGACATAAGCGAGTGCGATGTTTGTGACAAAAGCTGTGTGCAGATCAACAATGGATAATATATCAAGTGCGGGAGAGAGTATGAGCGTACAGCGTTTAAAGCGTGGAAGTACCGACCTTATTTTGAATTTGATTCCATAAAAAGTGACAAAAACATTAGTGTCTGTTGTGCATGACACGTTGCCGTGGATCTCAAAATGGTGGTGTGCCCCTAACAGGTTTATTACAGAAGCTCTCTCATTCTAGTCTAAACAACAGTGTCTCAGTAACTTTCCACTAGAGATGGTCCCTCTGGTGAATCTTGATTTTACATTCATCGGGTCCCAATCAGCCCAAATATCAAAGAGAAATTAGAAATGCATGCCATGGAAGAGTTCGGGACTTAAGAGGTTAAATTACATATCTAAGAATGCCTTCAGGAGTTTGAAAATACAAAATGAAATGAAAGAAAGGACAGTTTTGTACTTCTTTGTAATAAATTCAAAGGAATGCTAATGGAGGTCTAAATCGACTGACTCAGGAAATAAACCATCAATTCCTAACAAAATCAGTTTGCTTTCCTGAAATCCAGTATTCGTATCTTTTCCTGTGCAAGAATATTCAAAACTGCCTCATATTTTTTTGAATGCCTCTCTGTGCAAAATGGGTTTACAAATATGAACAACTGCCTGAGAGGTAAAATAAAAAAAAATTGAAGGTTTGTTGCAAAAAACCCCACATTTAATCCTCACATCTTTTCAGTGACTGGTTTGAGCCTGCCTGTTGCTGCAGATCTTCTGAAAACTGGGTTGCAGTTTTGAGATAGCCACTCTGAGTTCATTTTCAATGTCCAGCTTGGATCTGTACTTCGTCTTGATTGAAGCCACAGCAGAAAAGCCTACCTCGCATAAGTAGGATGTGGCAAAAGGAAGAAGTATTGCCAGGGCTCTCTTTGTCCACTCCAATCCAAAATGCAGCCAGGGTCTTTGAATTAAACTGCAGCCTCTTAGTTGAATCAGAGGTAAGATCAATGAACTGTTCCTCCTCAGATGTGTGTCAGCAGGGGGTGTTGCACTGAAGGGGTCACGGATCCAGTCATTCTTTGGAATCTTGCACCAGGAAATATCTCTGAGAATGTTTTTGAAGGGCAGACGTGTTCTTTCATGCATGGGATCACTGTATTCTGCAGCTTGTTGTCTTCAGTGAATGATTTCAAATTCTCAAATGAGTCCACGTTTCCATCTTTCACTCGCTGCTTCCACATTTCAAGTTTTCTGACAAATGATGTAACTTTATCTGTCAGATGTGGGAGGTGAGTGTTTGTGCCCTGCAACTGCAAATTTAGTTCATTGAGTTTCAGGAACATGTCACTGAGGTATGCTAGTTTCATGAGAAAGTTGTTAAAGTTAAATTTGTTGGTAAGATCACTGCCCTCTTCCTTCAAAAAGATGCGGATCTCATCTCACAGTTCAAAGACCCTGGATAGCACCTTCCCACGTGACAGCCATCGGGACTTGCTGTGATACAAAACGGCTGTGTGGTCGGAGCCCATTTCTTCACACAGTGCCGAAAAAATCCGGGCTTTCACAGGTCGTGTTTTGATGTAGTTGACTGTGGTGATGACATCAGTACGGTGTACATTTTAGGACATCGTCAGGTATCAGACAAAAAATTGTCAGGTGTCAGTTGTCAAAAAAAAAATTGTCAGGTATCAGAAAAAAAATTGACAGGTGTCAGTTGTCAAAAAAAAAATTGTCAGGTATCAGAAAAAAAATTGTCAGGTATCAGAAAAAAAATTGTCAGGTGTCAGTTGTCAAAAAAAAAAGTCAGGTATCAGACAAAAGATTGTCAGGTGTCAGAAAAAAAGTTGTCAGGTGTCAGAAAAAAATTTGTCAGGTGTCAGAAAAAAAGTTGTCAGGTGTCAGACAAAAAATTGTCAGGTGTCAGAAAAAAAGTTGTCAGGTGTCAGAAAAAAAGTTGTCAGGTGTCAGAACACAAGGTACCAGAGAGAAAATCTTCCTGCAGGTGGCGCTGTTGTCATGTCCCACCCGAATTGATTTCCAAATACGTCATCAACGTGTGACCGTGGGAGAGCGTAAGGTCATTGACCTCACCGGAGTTTTACCGTGGTTCAGGCTCCTAACGACACAAGGTAAGTTTAACTTTTTCTCCCTTTTGTTCATATTTTTGCCACAGTTGTGTTATATTAAGTTGCAGTTATGTTGTGAAAGTTACATATCAGAGACGGAAAGCCAGTTTTGTACGAAACCAAATCAGTACTATTTTTGTCTGGCTAATTCATTCTAGCTAGCGACAGTGGTGAAACGTGATTCAAATTTAAACTGTTCAGTAATTGTTTTGTATACATTTCAGCAAATGGACAAGCTGAAAGCTCACGAGCAGCCTGCATCCTTTCTGTCGCTCTTTTTCTTTATTTCTCTTTTCTATATTGCTACTGTCGGGATATGTTTTGATCCCGATATGTTTTTTTCTGTTGTTGTTTTTAGACTTTGCTGCAATATGTCATCTGACGATGATGAAAGGAGTATCCGACTCTGGCTGGTTCCCATGACTGTGCCAAAAATACTTTTTTTTTTTTAAATTAAAAAAAGCATTAAAAATAAATGACTAAAGTACAACTTATTTATTAACTACTGTTCACCTCTTTCATATCAAAGAAGTGTATTTTTTGCTACACATGTTTTATTTGTGGGCACTGAATAGACGATGCTTTTAGTGTAATTGCCACATAAAAAGATTTAGTACTTTACTGGTTAATTACTTATGTTCAGTGTAAGACGTGGGTGATCAATTAGACTGTTGTTGTTACACTTAACCTTTCAAGATATGATGATAATAACATTGTTCAACAAAGGCTTAAAACAAAAGGAAATCAGCTGTGCACTGAATTCATATGGGCATAAAATAAGGTAAGTCTGCATTTCAACAGTTTCCGTGACAACTCTCTAAAATGACAAAACATGCAGTTTGCATTTAATATAATGTAAGTCTGTGTTGTCTTTTAACAGTGAGAGGCATCTGAGACGAGTTTTAAAACTTCTAGGGTTGAAGCGAAGATGCCCCCAACGACCTTTTACTGAAATCCACAAAGCTGTGGAGGTAAGCGTTAAAACATCAGTGCAAAAAATATATATTTTCCTGAAGTCTGTGTCATGAGCTATTGTAGAAACAATAAATGTTATTTTCTGTAGTGATTTAAAAAAAAAAACATTCAATTGTCTGTTTGTTTGTTTTTTAGAGTGAGATGAAACAGTGGTCTCCTGAACAATGAATCAGGGCAATGGTAAAGCGGGTAAGGGATGTCAGAGGAGTGCGGCCTTGTTACAGGTTGGTTAAATAGTGTGTATATAATCAAGTATTCTCTTGTTTTACTGTTGAGCTCAGAGTAAAATCTATTGTTACTGTAGAGACGATGTTGTCGAGCTGAAATGGGAGGACTGTGTGGGGATTTGCACTGCAAGCGCTGCAAGCACTCATAAAGCGCGTCTCCCCCAATGTGCAGTGGACGCACTGTATGATACACCGCGAAGCACTGGCGTCTAAACAGCTCAGACCTGAGCTGAGTAACGTAATGACTGATGTACGGTGTACATTTTAGGACATCGTCAGGTATCAGACAAAAAATTGTCAGGTGTCAGTTGTCAAAAAAAAATTGTCAGGTATCAGACAAAAAATTGTCAGGTGTCAGTTGTCAAAAAAAAAAAAAAAGTCAGGTATCAGAAAAAAAATTGTCAGGTGTCAGAAAAAAAATTGTCAGGTGTCAGAAAAAAAAATGTCAGGTATCAGACAAAAAATTGTCAGGTGTCAGACAAAAAAGTTGTCAGGTGTCAGAAAAAAATTGTCAGGTGTCAGACAAAAAGTTGTCAGGTGTCAGAAAAAAAATTGTCAGGTGTCAGTTGTCAAAAAAAAAATTGTCAGGTATCAGAACACAAGGTACCAGAGAGAAAATCTTCCTGCAGGTGGCGCTGTTGTCATGTCCCACCCGAATTGATTTCCAAATACGTCATCAACGTGTGACCGTGGGAGAGCGTAAGGTCATTGACCTCACCGGAGTTTTACCGTGGTTCAGGCTCCTAACGACACAAGGTAAGTTTAACTTTTTCTCCCTTTTGTTCATATTTTTGCCACAGTTGTGTTATATTAAGTTGCAGTTATGTTGTGAAAGTTACATATCAGAGACGGAAAGCCAGTTTTGTATGAAACCAAATCAGTACTATTTTTGTCTGGCTAATTCATTCTAGCTAGCGACAGTGGTGAAACGTGATTCAAATTTAAACTGTTCAGTAATTGTTTTGTATACATTTCAGCAAATGGACAAGCTGAAAGCTTACGAGCAGCTTAAAAAAGACCTTGAAAATGGTAATCCAACACTTTATTAAATTTTTTGGTAATGTTTGCAAGTTAATTTTTTTAACTGCAAAGAAAATAGAGGTTCTTTTCATGGTACTCCAGCAGCTGTTAAAAGGATCATGTGTGGCCAACAAGGGATGGAGGACAGCGACATTCATCATGAGATAAATGTTTCACTGTAAGAACTTTTTTTTTTTTCATTGTCAAAATCGATTCTTCCTCAAGCTGTAACATAATATGCCTCTATTTTGTTTTTTTTTATTCGGACATGTTTCTGTTTTATTAGGAGACTGTCTAACCCCAACATCGTCAGACTCATGGCAGTTGCCCGCACTGAGTCCTGCTTTTTGTTGGCAGCTGAATACATTCATGGCGCAACCCTGCAGCAAGTGCTTCACACAGACAGCTGCTTGGTGAAGGTACCAATACTCATAATTTTATGTTTAATACATTTAGGTAGATGTGAATAATCTTAATACCCTCATATTAAAAAAGAACTTTTTATTGCTGGCATTTGTTTAAATATGTACTTGAAACCATCTTTGTGTACAACATATAAAAAGACTGACATGTTAGATTGTCACACCTGGCTACGCATTGTTTTATTAATATTATATATTGTCTTGATAGCTTGAAGGGGATGATGCCGGTTTCATATCACTGGACTTAATATGTTGGTTCTTGCACACCTACAAAATTCCCAAACATGTTGTAAGTTTAGGCTTTACAAACTGAAAGTTTCTATTATTTTATTAGTCTGTACCACTTGCTTAAGTGGAATGGGGATTAAAAAATGCACAGGACTATAAAACCGGGTTGGATCATTAACCAATCTGTTAATTTTAATGTTGGGTATAATAAACAATCTCAGAATAAATCTGCAGTGATTGGGTGATCTGGGTGCTAAAAGCTTTGAGGGTTTTTTTTTTTCCCCAATTATGAGCTGTGGTCTTTGGAATGACATTTTTGATAACATTTGTGAAATTTTAGACAACCTGGTAAGTTCTCATATGTATACCTTATAGGTTCACCACCCTTCTAAGAAGGCAGTCCTGACAGACTGGGGCATGGCAAACATAAGAGACACTGTGATGCTTCGTCAAGGGAGTAAGTTCACTGCCCAGGCTACTGGTCCAGCTGGTGGCACATATCTTTACATGGCCCCTGAATGCATACTGATGTTTGAAGAGGCCTCGTTCCAGACAGACATGTGGTCCCTCGGAGCCACATATCTGGAGATCCTGACGGGTTCCGCTCCGTGGATGGTTAAAAAACAAAGAGAACTGGCTGCACTAATGGCCACCAAAACCCCACCACATGCCCTATCACATCTCAGTGACAAAAACAGTTTTCTTGGTGGTTTGGTGAGCTATGACCCAGACTCAAGGCCTTCCGCATCTGATGTTGTTAAGTTTCTCAAGTCAGGCCTTGATCTTACGAGCCGATATGGCTACAAGTGGTAATGTTGCTACAGTCTGCAGTTCAAAAGTCTTTCAATGTGAATTATGTTCTACATTATTGTTAACAAAAGTTGTGGTAAATGAAACACTGAATCATTATGAAAGATGGCACCTTGTCAATTGTATTTCAACATTTTATTGTACATTTTGTTGGTCAGACAGTTTTCAAATTACCTGTTGATTTTAAACAAGGATAAATAAATGTTAACAAACACTGTTGTATGATTTTATTGGTCATTGGAAATGTTTACTGGTGCACCTTCCATCCTCTCTCTCTTCAGAAAGATGTATATGTCATTTGCCTCGGCAAACGTAGAAAGTGTAGGAACTGCATTTCTGTTCATGGCAGTTGTGAGCTCTTGGACTAGCATGAGGTATGCAGCAAGGCAACCATCAGGTGTGCAGGGAAACTGGCTGTTTTCTAAAATGTTCTGGCACATGTCTCTGAATTCCTGGTTTGCTACCAGTGAAGGCTCTTCCCTCTCACAGATTAATTGCTTGGCATAGTCTAAAAGGTCTGGGTCAACAATGTGCAGCACATTGCCATATCCTGCGAATGAAAGACAATATTGAAAAGATGTTCACTTTGAATGTTAAAATAAATGAATAATGACAAAGCTGTTCTAGAACCTGTATAAGAAGCAGTCAGTGTTTACAGATGTTATTACAGAAACTTAAAGATGGAAATATCACTCAAACATTTAGATAAATTTTTAGTTAAAGGTGTCAATATGAAGCCATTTTAGTATTGACAGTAGAAATTCAGAAATCTCTTATTGTACTACAAGTAGGCTTCTTCGGAAGACACAAAAGAGAAAGCACATTATAACAGTTTTACGCTCATTACACTGGCTTCCAGTATATTTTAGAAAATTCATTTTAAAATTTTAGTAATGACTTTCAATGCTCCGAATCGTGAAGCTCCTGCCTTAATTTCTGATCTTATAGAACCCCACGCTCCCTCTCCCAGCCTGTGATCATCTAATCAATGGCTGTTAGTAGTCCCACCAGAAGACCAGAGGCAATAGATCTTCCAAAGCGGTGGCTCCCAGGTCATGGAATGCTCTGCCTCCATCATTACGTTTCCTTGATTGCATTTATTCTGTATGTTCGATTGTGCGGTTTTATGTTTATCTGTTTTATATTATTGTGAAGCCACTTTGTGGTTTTTATCCTGTGAAGAGTGCTATATCAAAGTAAAAGTAAACTAATGAAAGTTAAAAACAAACAAAAAAATAAAACCCCACAGGCTTTCAAATGACATACCAGGAGGTGGTGAGGTAAACAGAAGGTCGGGTTTCCCAAATGGACCAGGTGCATTGCGTTGCTTGCGGATGTCATGGGTGTTCCAAACTGTTTGCTCCGTTTTTAAGTCTCTTTGAAGCAGTGGCAAGTGTGAGTACTGCAAGCAGTTGCTATGAAAAAGGAGAATTAAAAAATTAATATGTTCATCTGCTTCTTTGAGGTAGAATAAGTAAAGCTAAATTTTAATCAGTACTCAAAAAACAAAGGCATTCCTAGACCACATACTTTCATACTGCTGCTTGATTATTTTTCATGTCTAAAATATTGACTTACATGTGCACAGGATTGTCCAGTTCAAGGATCCCAGACTCCATCATGGCCTACGCATGTTGTTTTGAAAAAGACATAAGTTGTGAAGGTGAGAATTTCATTAGTGAAAAGGTACAGATGTACATAAACACAGATTCTGGCCTTGTGTTTTCAGATAAACTAATCCATCGTATGTTTAACGAAATTTGGATGGCTAGTCTTTGTTAATAGGTTTTACAGGTGAAAGATTTGCTTTACCTCAAATGTTGTCAGCCATTTCTTAATCCATGTCTGCTTTAAAATACTGTTGAAACATTCAGCTCTCTAAACAACAGAAACATGACATTATCAGTTTTGTTGTCAGGTTGTTACTTTAGAAATAGTCATTTACCAGCTTAAAGACATACCTGGTTGTGCACTGATGTCCCCATTCTGAAGCACCTCCATGCCTGATTCCCAAGATCTCGCATGTGAAATGCCATCTGCATTTGACCCACAACAAGGTTCTCCTTTCCTCTGTCCCCCCGAATCATTTGAGGACAGCCTAAAGACACAAACTGAAGATAATTAGTGAATGATGAAAAAATAATTTAATTAACAAAATGTAATCTTTTTTAACCCCCAATTTTTTAGTATATTGCATACCACCCTGTTCTTGAACAGCCTCAAAGAAGTATCTGGCCACAAAGTTTTGCTTGCGGTTGGATGTGCCCACCTTTAGCCATAGAACCTTCCTGGAAAATCTGAAAAGAAAGAAACAGAAAAGTGGCCACTTGTACATATGATTTAATCATGTTTTGGCACTATGTTTGGTTTTTGTTACATTCCCCAAGAGTATGCTGGTTTTCCATTGTATTATGTCTAGGCGTTGTATCTGGTTCCTCCGGCCATTTTGACTGCCATAGTTGTGTAGGCTTACATGCCTTTGGAATTGAATGTGACTCTTGACTGTGTTCAGACTGACGCGAGGGGAGAGCTGCCTTTTGTTTTGTAATCCCTTGTATTCTCCTGTTTATGTGTTGGTTAGGTAGGTTATCGTAAATTGTACATTTTATTTTCTTTGGAGTTAAATTCTGTTTACTTTATATCAGGGATGTTTTGTTTGTTGTGTTGGTCTTGGCCCTCCCTGAAATTAACTGCCAGTCTGAAATGGAACTTTAAGACTAGCAGGAAATAAGCCTTTTAAAAACCGCCATCTTGAATCCTCCTTCACTATTCATACTTTATCTTGGTCCCTTAGACCAGGCTTGGCCAAATCCAGACCTCGAGGGCCAGTGTCCTGCATGTTTTAGATATCACCCTGGGTAAACACACTTGAATAAAATGATTAGTTCATTACCAGGCCTCTGGAGAACTACAAAACATGTTGTGAGGGTAATTTAGCCATTTGAATCAGCTGTGGATCAAGGACACATCTAAAACCTGCAGGACACCGGCCCTCGAGGCCTGGACTTGCCCATCCCTGCCCTAGACTACTCAGGAGAGATAACACCTCAGTTTACCGCACATCCTTATCTTGAAGCAACTTTGTACTATCACTGAATATAATAAATTAAGTAGCGAATGCCATATTCAAACCTACCCATCAATCCCCAAATGTATCCACATTCCAAAGAACTTCAGTTTATCATTGCCTATATGAAACAACAAATAATAATTACAATTTGTTTCAACAGAAGTACCATCAAAACATGTTTGGAAGGTTAATTGAAAAGATAAAATAAATACCATCAATGTGCCATGTGTCATTTGGACCACGGCTGATGTAATTCCGACGGGGAATTTTCTTCTTTCCAGGAGATCTCCTCTGAAGACCACTTGCATCCATATACCTCATTATATTAGCAACATCGTCTCTACAGTAACAATAGATTTTACTCTGAGCTCAACAGTAAAACAAGAGAATACTTGATTATATACACACTATTTAACCAACCTGTAACAAGGCCGCACTCCTCTGACATCCCTTACCCGCTTTACCATTGCCCTGATTCCTTGTTCAGGAGACCACTGTTTCATCTCACTCTAAAAAACAAACAAACAGACAATTGAATGTTTTTTTTTTTTAATCACTACAGAAAATAACATTTATTGTTTCTACAATAGCTCATGACACAGACTTCAGGAAAATATATATTTTTTGCACTGATGTTTTAACGCTTACCTCCACAGCTTTGTGGATTTCAGTAAAAGGTCGTTGGGGGCATCTTCGCTTCAACCCTAGAAGTTTTAAAACTCGTCTCAGATGCCTCTCACTGTTAAAAGACAACACAGACTTACATTATATTAAATGCAAACTGCATGTTTTGTCATTTTAGAGAGTTGTCACGGAAACTGTTGAAATGCAGACTTACCTTATTTTATGCCCATATGAATTCAGTGCACAGCTGATTTCCTTTTGTTTTAAGCCTTTGTTGAACAATGTTATTATCATCATATCTTGAAAGGTTAAGTGTAACAACAACAGTCTAATTGATCACCCACGTCTTACACTGAACATAAGTAATTAACCAGTAAAGTACTAAATCTTTTTATGTGGCAATTACACTAAAAGCATCGTCTATTCAGTGCCCACAAATAAAACATGTGTAGCAAAAAATACACTTCTTTGATATGAAAGAGGTGAACAGTAGTTAATAAATAAGTTGTACTTTAGTCATTTATTTTTAATGCTCTTTTTTTAATTAAGAAAAAAAAAGTATTTTTGGTACAGTCATGGGAACCAGCCAGAGTCGGATACTCCTTTCATCATCGTCAGATGACATATTGCAGCAAAGTCTAAAAACAACAACAGAAAAAAACATATCGGGATCAAAACATATCCCGACAGTAGCAATATAGAAAAGAGAAATAAAGAAAAAGAGCGACAGAAAGGATGCAGGCTGCTCGTGAGCTTTCAGCTTGTCCATTTTTTTTTTGACAACTGACAATTTTTTTTTTGACAACTGACACCTGACAATTTTTTGTCTGATACCTGACGATGTCCTAAAATGTACACCGTACATCAGTCATTACGTTACTCAGCTCAGGTCTGAGCTGTTTAGACGCCAGTGCTTCGCGGTGTATCATACAGTGCGTCCACTGCACATTGGGGGAGACGCGCTTTATGAGTGCTTGCAGCGCTTGCAGTGCAAATCCCCACACAGTCCTCCCATTTCAGCTCGACCTCTTTTAAGTAAGAGTCTATGATTTTAAACAGTTCTTCTGCAGTGGCTCTGGTAGGAACTTGTTTGCAGAAAAGTAATTCCTCCCTCATCCATCAATGAATCTGACATACACAGCAAAATCTCCAGTGTTAAATTAACACTAGAGAGTGTCTATATGGGTCCACACCTCTGAGTGTTAAATACAACACTGTTGAGTGTTAAATTAACACTTTTGACAGTGTTATATGTTTAAAAGTAACCTAGTCAGTTTTGAAGATTAACAATGGCTAACACTGAGTAGTGTTGATTTTCTAACACTGGAATATTTCTAACATTTTGAGTTATTTTCCAGTGTTAGAAAATCAGCACTGCTCAGTGTTAGCCATTGTTAATCTTCAAAACTGACTAGGTTATGAAAACAACTTAGGACTTTTGCCTACCATATGTATAGATACTTTTGCTCATAAAATTGTCATGTTATGGGCATAAAAAGTTCTTAAACACAGGTTTAACCATTTTAGCACACACCTTGGAGATGGTCCCCATAATTTTTCTTCCAGCCCTCCACCTTTGCTTCTAAAGATCTCCATCATGCATGGAGTGTACAAGTCTAGCTCAAAAAAGAATGTAGATAGCAGCGGTACTGTCGATATGGGCAGGAATTCCTTGTCAATCTGAAAAACAGATTAATAATAACAACAACAATACTACTACTACTACTACTAATAATAATAATAATTATAATATTAATAATATGTCAAACATATGAAACTAACCTGATATTGTTGAGGAGGTATAAGAATCTCAGAACACGGGAATGTGGCTTTATTTTTCAACGTATTTCTGGGGAGAGAAATTATTTAATTAAAATAAAATTATTACTCTTGATGAATTTGTGTTAATATCTACATACTGTGAAATGTGAAGACTGTTAGTCAGCCTTAATGCAGAGAGCAGAGAAACTATGACCCGAACAATGATCCACCTAAATCATTCTGAATTCAAAAACTAATTGAAGATATTACAAAAAACAGAAAATACACATGCAATTATTGTGACAGATTTTCTCTTTCTCCTTGTTATTAATTCCGCAAAACACTGGTATAGTTGAATTCAACCCTTCATCTATCCAGTTAATGCGGTTGTTCCCTTACTAAACTCCACTGACAAAAACAGCAATTTTAAGTACAGCATCATAAAAATCACCAAAACTACTTCAGTCAGTCTTACCACTGCTACCAACAATCACCAACTCCGGTTAAGGAGAAAGTAACCCTTCATTCAAGGAGTTATATGCGAAGACATTACTCTACGCGGCTTTCCCGCCGACATGACACTCTTCAAAGTTAGCTAACTCCAGAGAAAAAACAGTGCTAACCATGCAGATAACCATGAAACACACCTCATTCAAAGTCAACAGACACAAAAACCGAACTTACCAAAATAGCCTCATCAGTTTTTGCTCTGTTGCAACAATTAGCCACTCCGGTTAAGTTGGAAAGAAAATTCAAATTCACGACTTACATGTGAAAAGTGTTTGGCTCCACACACTCCCTGATATATAAAGCTCCTCTAAGTTACCACTTAGAGGTAAAACATTTAACCAATAGTATTTATCTCTCACACTCCTAACCTAAATAAATATATAAAGAGATATGTGAATAACTTACCTTACTGTCAAGTATACCAAAGGAGTAACTCCACATGCGCTCGTCAACTCTCAACGGACTCTTCCGCATCCGGTGGGTGTAGAGCATGCGCAATGCATGACGCTATCTGAGTCGTTGGTTTGATGGACCTCATTCTCATTGGATTGCCATGAATGAATTTAACTCATCAGAATTTTCTTTGACTCATATTCAACAAAAAAGAATGAATCATTTAATACCCATAAAAATGATTTCTTCATGTAATGTAAACATATTACTGCTTTGCTAATCAAACACATGCCCTAGTTGATTTTTTTGAGTGTGGTTTAAATCTTATCTCTCAGACAGACCGTTCTCCGTTGCTATAGGGGAACACACCTTGGCCTCTGCCCCAATTTACAGTGGTGTGCCTCAGGGGTCTGTGCTCGGTCCAGTTATTTTCTCCTTGTACATGCTGCCGTTGGGATTAATAAAAAAAATATATATATATATATATATAACATCTCCTTCCACTGTTATGCCATTGATATCCAAATTTATTCGCCTTTAATTAATTCTGATGTCTCTGCTTCTTTGCAACCTCTGTTCAGCTGTCTTCATGAGGTACGTCCTCTTAGGTCCTCTTGCTAGCCATCTCTTGCTCACTGTAAGAAACCTCAGAGTGTTCCTGATTAGCTCTTTTAATCTAGAGAACCAGGTCTCCACAGTGGTAAAAAGCAGCTTTTACCAGTTGCGCCAGATATCTCAAGCAAAACCATTCCTTCCTTTAAAGGACCTTGAAAAGCTTATCCACGCATTTATCACATCCAGACTGGACTACTGTAACTCCCTCTGCTTGGGCCTCCAACACTCTTCTCTTTACCAATTAGTTCAAAATGTAGCTGCATGTCTCTTAACAGATACTAGAACCTATGATCACATCTCTCCAGTTTTAGCCAACTTACATTGGCTCCCTGTTAAATATCATATAGATTTTAAATTTATTTTGTTTACTTTTAAAATTCTAAACAATTTAGCGCCCAGCTAACTATCCAAACTCCTGTATTTGTACAATCCCAATAGAACACTAAGATCTTCCAATCAGATGCTCCTAACGCAACTGAGGTCTTGTCTGAAGTCCAGAGGTGACCGGGCCTTTGCTACCGTAGCACCTAGACTCTGGAATAACCTCCCTGCTCATATTCGTACCTCCAAGTCTATCCAGTTTTTTTTAATTGCATCTGAAAACTTATCTCTTTACTTTGGCTTTTGATTCAAACTAGCAGACTATTATCTGGCTTGTTGTGTTGTCACCTATATTGTTTTTTGCCCTGTTCTTTCTTAACTGTTTTGTTTTAATTGTCTCATTCTATTGCTCTGTCTGACTGTGAAGCACTTTGGTTTTTAATATGTGCTACTATAGAAATAAATTTTGATTGATTGATTGATTGATTGACCTGAATAGAATTAGTAGGTCGTTAGCAAGAGTATAGGACTTTACTCCCTGCGAAAGTGGCCACCCATAACTCTACCCAATTAAATTTAAGTAAATGTAAGTGTTTGTAAAAATGTACTTTTATTGAACCATGTTCATTCACTCATGAGCTGCTGTAAAATGAATCAAATGGTTGAATTGCCACCTCAGCATGCAGTCAAGTTCTATAGTCTTGCTAATGACCTACTAATTGTTTTCAGGTGTGTTGCAACAGGGACTCATGGAAAATTCTCAGGACAGCGGCCCTCAAGCACCGGAGTTCGAGACACCAGTCTACACTGTGCACTAAAGCATTAAAAAAACATGTCACTCAACACACAACACTGCGTGCCATGGGTAGTACTTCAGTTAGCCAAACCTAAAATAATACTTGATAATAATTTAAGCCTAAGACAAGATATTTTCATGTATTTTCATTTTCAATGAAATCTTAACTTCTGCACTCTGACGGCTACAAATTATTAGCTTAATTAGGTTGATTAGATTAAACCAAATCAAAAACTGTAGACCTCACTTTTAGAATCAGTGATCTATGATATTATTGATTTCATTTGTTTTACTTCAGGAGACACCACTTCAAGGCATGCTTTAACACTAAGCAATGCTAAATACATTTTAGAAAAAAATCTAAATTAAAGCATTTACTGTCAAATGTGAAGAAATGATTAGTTGAGTGACTGACAGGGGATTTCTAAGAATCGCCCCACAGTTCTTCAGCTAAGACACCTGAGTTAGAAAACACAAACACTCCAGTCGTCTTTACTCGCAAGGGCAGTCACAGAGCGCTCGTCCTTGCAGGAGGGCACTCGCACTCTGTCACTGTCTGCGTTCTTTATTTATACAAGCTGGTCACATGTGTGTACAAAGATAACAAAGTTATTCCAAGAACTCAGAGCTGAGGTTCCCCTTTTCTAAGTCTGTATGTTCTTAGAAAAGAGGAAGCTGTTAGTTGCTAAATAAGTTTATCACACAAGAGTTCATGTGAAAAGTCACGTAGACATGTGGATTGCTTAGTGATCAATAAAAAAAACGTACAATTTTCTTCTGACAGTGACTTTATTTAATTACAGTTATTTAAGCTATTTATTATTATTCATTGTTATGCAAAGTCCTGCCATGCAAGTGTAATGCAAATATACTTTTTATATAGCATGCCAAAAAAACATTTTTTATATTTCTCAAAATAAATGTGGTGACTTCTTCCCCATCATGTTCTTCTTGGTATTCTTTTCTGGTTTCAGTAAGATGATATAACATTTGGGTATAAAGATGCAAATTAGCAGTCCAAAACTAGATGCAAGTATTGCAAATATTTCTACAGCAACACTGAATTTCCCAGGGGAGCTGACATATGCTGGGATAAATGTAATCCATACTGCACAGAATATTAGCATGCTGAAAGTGATCAATTTGGCTTCATTAAAATTATTAGGCAGTTTCCGAGCTAGAAATGCAAAAATGAAACACAAAATGGCCAGTATTCCAATGTATCCTATCACAGCCCAATACCCTACAGCTGAGCCAAGGGCACACTCTAAGATGATTTTATCTTTGAATTCCTTAAAATTCTGAGATGGGAAAGGAGGTGAAGTTGTTAACCAAATGATGCATATGATAACTTGTATCAGAGTGAAACCCAGAACACAGAGTCTTTGCTGTACATGTCCAAACCACTTTTTAACATTAATACCTGGACCTGTAGCCCTGAAGGCCATTAACACAACCATTGTTTTTCCCAGAAGACAAGAGATACAGAGGACAAAGGTGATGCCAAATGCTGTGTGTCGCAGCATACAAGACCAGTCAGATGGCTTACCAATGAAGGTCAGAGAACACAGGAAGCACAGAATTAACGAGAAGAGCAGCAGGAAACTCAGCTCAGAATTGTTTGCTCTGACAATGGAAGTTTTCCTATATTTGAAGAAAATGAGTATCACACTAGCAGTCATGCATGTCCCAAATAAAGATGCTGCAGTGAGCAGTGCTCCCATAATTTCTTCATATGACAAAAACACTGCTTCCTTCTTTATACAGGCATCTCGTCTTTCATTTGACCAAAACTCAGGGAGACATCTCACACAGGTGGCAGAATCTGAAAATTTTATATTGAAGCAGATTTTACAGTTGTTGAGTAAAGTTATTTCTGTAACTGCTCCAAGGAAGAAATGTGTATACAAAGATTTCTGAAGACATGCACGTGCTTTCTCTCTTACAAGCAGTATTTACTGTGAAAAAGGTTTGACATTCAAGCTGATGGTAAAAGGCATACTGCACTGATCACAACAGCAAAATTTTGGCATCAAGAAACCAGTCCCGAACTGGCCTTTCTGCAGGCCATAACTTTCAATATTTTTAAAGAATTTGGCACATAATTAAAATAAAAACTTGACAAGACCCACTCTGATGAGCAGCTAGAATCCTGTATCAGACAAGAATAGGACAATATTCTTCTTTCAGACATTTACACAGAAAAATGAGCAAACAAACAACGACAACAGCAAAAACAAAAACAAAAAAAAAACTGGAAATAATAATCAAAATATTGCTTTATGAGATGTGCAAATAAATGCATTCTGCTTTTCTGTATATTTTAGGCCGGGGTGGCCAGGGTGCGGCTCTTTGCCTGGTTTAATGCAGCTCTTACATACATATCAAAGTTTGTGTTTGTGTTTTGAAGTTTTTTAAGTGTGCCTAGGCACACTTATTACTATTCGTCGGATTTATTATTCTTATTATTATTTTCCTACAGTTTTGACACAAGGGTTACATATGTTATATCATTTTGTGCGGCTGGGTCTGGACTAGTATGCTATGACTTTTGGTGCTTATGACTTTTATAGTTTTTTAAATATTTAGATTTTAGTGCAAATTTTGGCCCATTTGTAGGCCCATGAGAAAGATTCAACTTTTGGCCCCCTAGAAACAGATTTCAAACTTAATTTGTGGTGTGTTGGCTCTCTCTAGTGGTATGTCGGGAGTGGTATGGCCTGTCTACCCGTATTTGGATTACCGTAATGACGACAATATCAATGGCGCGCACAGCGTCGCTGCTTTCAGGAACCATTTGAATTTTTAAGGTTGCGCGAACCATTGAATAGTTACGGTAACCGCAAGGGTGTATGCTTGGTGGAACACTCCATATCCCACAATTCATAGCACACCTCTACCGACTCAAACAATGGCGGCCACCTCTTCGTTTAATATATTGCTTTTATTACTGTTTCTAGGTCACAAAATAAACTTTTAAGATATTTTCAGGCGAGAATGTAGGTGTGTAAACGTCAAATATCTGCTCGTTTGTCAAAACATATTAGGAACAGTGCTCTTACGATATTGCTGCTAGCACGGCTAGCTAGCTAGCATGGCTAGCGTCTCTTCGCTAAAAAGCACCCGGGCTTGGCTTACAGTGAGGCGGCTGACACTCGTTTCACCACCCGATCACTCGCCAAGAGACTGTTTCTCAGCTGGATTTACAGTATTTTTCGTTTATATGGGCCGATAATTCATTTATTCATTTTAGTAACGGTATAAACAGTGAAAGGTGGTTGTCCAGATGCTGGTCGATGCAGGAAAAATAACTGAGTTTTTGGTGGTGGCTAACGCAGAGCTCCAACAAAGGGCAGCTAGCCCTGACAGAAAGGACATGCGGGAAAAGAGACATGCGAGGCGACCGCCGATCGACCGGTGGTGGCTAACGCGGAGCTCAATCATGAATAAGGGAAACCAAAGGCAGGAGCGTGAGGTGAACTGAATTTCAGGTAAGAAGTTATGAACTGCACTCTATCTGGGTCAGATATAAACCGAGTTTAGGTGTAGTTTATTTTTGTTGTGCTGACAGTTACAATAACTCGTACTGCGTGCTAGCTAGCACGACGGAGTTTCTATACAGCTGTGTGCGTGCTAAGTTACTGATGTTGAACTTTATGACAACCTTTCCTGTCATTCTCTCGCCTGTTGAAACTTCAATCATGAAACTGATCAATGATCGGCTTTTCTCTCGTTTGTTTATTGCGCTAAACAACAGCAGCTGCACGTTTAAGCTTGATCAGCTGTTGTTAGAATTCATTTGATTTTAGTTTCTAGTATCAGCTGATGTTTGCTGGAGCCACAGCTGTAAAAAAGGGCTGGTCGAAACCAGGAGATGTCCTTACTGAATCATCAGAGCTGAACTGGTGATGGAGAAACAGGTTTACAGGTACCTTTTAGGTGACATGAATGAGTTGAAGGGAAGTTATGAACTGTTTCTGAGAGACAAATAACACCAAGCTCCTTTTTTTGTGTAGCTGACAGCTGGTAACTGTGCAGGGGCGGATCTAGCAAAGCTTTTGGCAGGGGGCCAGGTAGGGCATTAACAGGGAAAGGGGGACACAAAGATATACTTTTCTTTCTTGCTCTCATATAAAATATTTAGCTTTTATTAAATAGTTATCTGAATCTTACAACCAACGTTTGTATAATACTACACAAGATTGGCTGTAGACCATTGTTAATCATTCAGAACACTGTGTAAAAATAACAAAAAACAAAAAGTGAATGCAAAAGTGCATAAATATTTATTTTACGTGTTTGATGTGTGTGGCAGGCCGTGGTCTACAGTGCCGCTGCAGGGGAGGTGGACCCACCTCAGCGGCATCTGCAATCACGCCTCTCAGGCGTAAAGTCTGTGCTCTCTCGACTGTTTTTTTTTTTTTTTGGTGTGTGTCGAGCTGTGAGTTGAAAAGCTACAGCCGGCTGTTTGGGTACACCAACCATGTGTGAAAAGTGGTCCATAACGTAATGCTTCAAAGCGTGTTCATGCAAACATTGTCGGGTCTGCCGTGGTACAATGGGACTTCTGCTCATTAACCTCTGTGCACAGCGTCTGCAAATCGGGGCTGTACGAAGTCACCTCATCTTTACACAAAACTGTAAGCTGTCATCTGTGAGGCGCGAGTGGTGTTTTTTTTTTTACCATAGTTCATGGTGGAGAATGGCTGCTCTGCTGAGTTTTGCTCTCTGTAGCCGTATGAATGGCAAACTACACTGATTATCGGCGGCATAGGCACACTTTAAATTTCTTCTGAAATTTTCGCTTTCTAGTTTGTTGTTATTGGTTTTTTAAAATGTGCGCATTCGCTTTGCTTGAGTTCAATATGGTATTTTCATCGAATGCGCATGTGTGTGAGATGAAAATACCGCAAAGTTTTCCAGTAGGGGCAAGTTCACTCTCAAAATGGCAGGGGAAAAATGCACAGCTAAACAAAAATATGCTGGATTGGAACATTGCGCGGGCTAAAAAGCCATACAATGAAGGGGAGTTTGTTAAAAAAAATGCCTCAGTGACGTTGTCTAAGGAGCTTGGAAAGAAAAGTGTCTGGACTTCTTTAAGTTGCTTGAAGACCTTTCACCTCTCATCCGAGAAGCTTCTGCAGTTCTTCAAGAAGGTTCAAGAAGCTTCTCGGATGAGAGGTGAAACGTCTTCAAGCAACTTAAAGAAGTCCAGATGCTTTTCTTTCCAAGCTCCTTAGACTACAACGACCTGGATGACTGAGAACCTTCACAGACTCAGTGACGTTGTTGAAATCTTTTCTCCTGAAAACGACAAAAGTAAAAAGCATGGTATCGTCGGACGTCCAACTGTCCCGCCACACTGTTAACACAGAATATCAGACATTAACACAGCTATTGAATTACAGTTGCACTCTGACCTTCAAGCATGTGAGTATTTTAGTGTCGCATTGGATGAGAGTTGTGATATACAAGACAAGACTCAGTTGGCAATATTTGCACGGTCTGTGTCAAACGATTGTGTGATCAAAGAAGAACTCCTTGATATTGTGCCATTAAAAGAGAGAACCCATAGATGTGAAAGAAACCATGATGGCTGCATTTGAAAAATCGAATCTGCCTATAACGAAACTAACTGCAATAACCACAGATGGAGCACCAGCCATGATGGGATCTGTGAACGTGCTCATGGGGTTGTGCAAGCTGACCAAACATTTCCTGAGTTTTGGAAGCAACTCGTGTCTAAATCATTGAATTTAGATAACGTCATGAAGCCTTTGATGGAAATCGCCAACTACATCCGCACACATGCGCTTAACCATAGCGAAATTCAACAATGTCATCGCTGAGCTGGACCAAGGGCTTCCAGGTGACCTGCCACTCCACTGCACTGTGAGGTAGCTGTCAAAAGGCCAGGTACTCTCTCACTTCTTTGAGCTTTTGGAATCCCTGAAACTGTTTATGGAAGAGAAGGACAAGGACTATCCCGAGCTCTCAGACATCAAGTGTATTATGGATCTGGCATTTTTGGTCGACAAGCTGTGTCACTTGGATAGACTGAACCTGACCCTGCAGGGTAAGTTAGAAAATGCTGCCTGACCTAGTGGAAAGTGTGTTTGCGTTTGTCAACAAACTGAAGCTGTTAAAGGCACATATTCAAAAGGTAGATTTATCGCATTTTCCCACTCTGCTAAAAGCCAGCGGTTAAGTCGCCAGCACCACCCTGAGTAAGGAAAGAGACAGATATGCAGTGCTGGTTGAAAACTTGCACAAAAGCTTTGTGACCCTGTTCCATGATCTACAATTGAAAAGGCCACAGATTGCATTCATTGTCGACCCATTTAATGCAGAGACAGACTGTTTGAAAGTCCCGCTGGTCACAGATGAAGCTGCGGCTGAGTTGGAGATGATCGATCTTTATAAGGAGGACCAATTGAAACCTGCTTTAAGGGAAGGGACCCTTGAGTTCTGGAAAGGTGTGCCAATGGAAAAATACCGCAATGTCAAACGGGCTGCGCTTAAGATACTGTCAATGTTTGGTTCAACATACGTCTGCAAGTCTGTGTTTTCTACCCTAAAACATGTGAAATCAAAGCATCGATCTGTTCTGACTGACACTCATTGCTTCGAGTGGTAACAACGGAATACAAGCCAGATTTGAAGAGGATTGTTCAAGGCAAGGAATGCCAGAAGTCCCACAAAACAACATGCATTGTAAAAGAAAAATGCTATTGTAGATTATTATATTTTTGTTTGTGGACTTAGAGTTTGTGTGTGAGAGACAGTGCACACAATATTCATTGTTGAAAATGACTGGCCTGTGGTTTTAGTACTGTAGGAGTCCATTCCTGTCATTATCATGTTGGTGTGTGACATTTACAATAAATCTGGCTGAGCAGAGGTGTGTGTGTGAGTGTGTGTGAGAGAGAGAGGGAGGAAGGGATGGGTGATGTTCATGTGTGCCCATGTGTATGATGTGGCTCTTTGCGGTAACACAATAAAAAAAAGAGTGGCTCTTGGTCTCTGACTGGTTGGCCACCCCTGCTTTAGACAATGTTTTGGATTTATAAATTTTGTAGGAAACAATTCATCAAAATTATTAAATAATTCTTCAGAGGAATTAGTCCATATTTTTGGATGGCATGTGAAATTTTTGCTATGTGCGAAACTTAAAAAAAAAAGAGATCTAACCTGTAAAATTGCTGATTTCTCCCTCTGCACATTGTATACAGTCATAGCAGCAAACAGGCCTTCCTTTCTGGAGAACCTTGCGTGTTCCTGGCGGACATTTCTCGCTGCAAACTGACACAGGGACCTGCATGAATAATTACATAAAACTTTATATAAAATATGAAAAACACTGCATGGTGTCATCTTTCCAACATGTAGCAATAAGCAAAAAACATAGCGTGAAACTATATAAAAATATGTATAAAATATGTACAGTTATAATATAATTTTTGAATATTTTATAGCTTACCAGCTTTGAGTTTCTTGCCCAAATTAAAGACTTGTTTTGGAAATTTAGCTTTTTTTCTGGAGCTAATGATATATCATAAAGACCAACTGTCACAAACTCCACAACGCCGTTTTCTTTTGGCTGCCAGTTTATAATTTCATACTTTGCTGCTGGATCTCCATTCTCATCAAAGTAAACCTCATCCCCTTCCTTAGTTGTGAAGTGACTCTTTCGTATGTGTTGTAAAATCTAAGAAATATGTCATAACTCAGTATATTGCATGACTGAGATCTTGCACACCCATTGACTTGCGAATATAAGACATTAGCTCTTTTCTTAAAATCATTTTTCTTTCTAATTGAACTTAATGTGTTAACAATAGTATTAGTTGGTTTTAAGCTCACCGTGAATGGATCTAGCTGGACTTTGTTGCTACATGCTTTATTACAGCTGACAATGTTGTGAAGGGCATGGGCCACAGCATACACTCCTTTATAGACATTGTTAAAGATAGGCATGAGAGACATATCAGTGAAGCTGTTTTGAACTCCGTTCAGATCTTCATGTCCAGTACACTCTCTCTGAATGTTTGCTGATGACGTTGACTGCCTAAACTTACAGTTAAATAATGTCTCCCAGAACTCAGTAAATAGTTCATTGTTAGATGAATTGAGTGACTTCACATCCAGTATGAACTCTCTCAGGCCAGTGACATGTGCTTTGGGAATGGAAAGGCCTATGGCACCATTCAGTATGTGATGTATATCCATTTTTGCTGTTTGCGAATCAAATATCCAAGACTCACTGCCTACCCACTGATACCCAGACAAGTTATGGTATGAAAACTCATGTATCAGAACATCCATCTCCTTGTGTGACAGAAAGGCAATGATCACCTTGGAGGTTGAAGCCTTTATAGTGCGAATTATTTCTCTTATTTTGTCAGATGGATCTGTTCTAAAAAAAGATACAGAATACTCCAGACAGATGCCCAGGCGCTGTGCAGTTTCTGTAAATGTGGCCATGCCATTATTTCCATAATCATTATTAGTTCTGATAGCTCCAACCCAAGTCCATCCAAAATGCTTGACCAAATGGGCCAGGGCTCTGCTCTGGTAGTAGTCACTGGGTATTGTTCTGAGGAAGGATGGGTACTTGGTTTTGTCACTGAGACAAGCACATGTGGCAAAGTGGCTGATCTAGAATTAAACATAAAGAACTTATATTTGAAAAAGACACAGAATGAGAGAAGATTAAGATGTTAAAAATAAGACAAACACTTAATTAAATTTGCTCAGAGGAGTTGGGAAAATGATTTAGTTACTTTATTTCATTTTATAAAATATCAGTTCTACTCACTACTGGTACATAAAATGGTCCAATAACAGTGGCTATTGCTATGGTTGGAGAGGAAGAGGTCTCTCCCATTATGGCCTGTACGTGTGCAGGTCTGGTACATGATGCCTTGGAGGGTACAGACACAATTTCATTACCATTAGCCAAAGCCAGTGTAAGTCCTACACTTCGGGCAACATTGCCACAAGTATTAAAGATTTTATAGCCCAGAGTGACTCCCGGCAGTAGGTCTGTACTGTTATTAATCTCCTCAATGGCAAAAAGCATAGCTTGGGCAAACTGCAAATCTCTGAAATTTAAACTTAATTGAGACAATTATTAATAATTCATAAAATAGAGAGAAAAAGTATTTCAAACAAAACCATTTAATGTCAATGATTTATATAACTGAAACCAAACATACATAATACAAAATATTTATCAAGTTTTATTTGTATCAAATGACTTCTAGGAGATTCCTTTAATCTAAATGCATTTCGTTGATGAGACTTACCTGGTGCATTGAAGTGGCAGTGGTTTGTGCGTGTAGGTATCCTTTCTGTCTTTCCAGCTGGTGTGAAACGAAAACATACCCCCCAATATAATATCCCCATCCTTACATAGCAGTGGGTTCCCAGGATCTCCTCTCTGCCTGCACACTGGCTCCTCAGCATGAGAGACAGATGCCACTAACAGCAGTTGCAGCAGTGCCCATCCCTGCTCTGGCCATACTTGTGTTGATGTCATTTTTCAGCTAAATCAATTAGTGGCACTGAAAATGAAATTTACAGTGGTATTTATACCTTTTGGTGAAACATAAGAAATGATAGAAGAGTGGCAGTTCATTCTCAGTAGACCTACAAGGTTGGGCAAAAGGAGGGACATGCCCTAATTTTCAATTTAATGTAGGTTAAAGTGTGTAAAATAAATAGATAAATAAGATAAGATAAGAACTTTATTTATCCCGAGGGAAATTATTTTGTCATACACATGCTCAATGCAGCAAGAGAGACAGAGGAACAGTAATAAGATATACAATATGTACAATAGAATACAAGTAAATACATACATATACAATACAATAAATACATACATACACTTTAGCCATGCCCATTTAAATATGAAGTCACAGTGTAAAATAGAACTCCCTACAAATACATGTGCTTTGCAAATTATTTTTCCCATGGGAAATTTGCAGTGATTTCTTCTTCTATGGCAATAAAGGTCATATATTTACCATAAATTCTAGACTACAGAGTGCACCTGATTACAGTTTTTTCCAGTCGCTAACAAGCGTTTGTCCAAACAGTTGTCACATTTGCAAAACTCTAAACACAATTAGCACAGCATCGGTCTGTTGTGGCCATACCATTCTTACATTTCATGTCGTGTTCACCCAATATGCAGTCAGTGAACACATTTCCACAATGCTTACATTTTCTTAACAGACAAGCTATACCTCCCAACAAAATTATGGACTGTTTTTGTAGTATTTACGAATGTTAACACACAACATCCCACAATAGCAAAAACAATATTCCAAACCGTAGATACAGTATAAAAACCTCTGCTTCTGCAATGATATCAGTACAAAAACAATATCAATATCAAAAATATATCTCAGCTGATAATAAACAAACAATTGAATAATTGACACACAGCTGATTTATGTTGGGTAAATTGGGCCAACGACAGCTTCTTCCATTCTGGCTTAGACTCAGTGGGGTTTATAAGGCAAGACCTTGAGGAGTGATGTTTTTGGAAACAAAAAAAAGACAAACACTGTAATGTCTGGTCGAGGAAGAGTAAGAGCAAGGGGCCCAGGGAGAAGAGCAGGCCCAAGGAGAGGGCAAGGTAGAGGTGTAAGAATGCGTGGTGGTGGCATTCCAAGGGCTGCAAGAACAGTAGTCAGTGATGAAATTCGTGCCACTATCATTGACCATGTAATCAACCATGGTCTTTCACTAAGAGAGGCTGGTGAAAGAGTGCAGCCCAATTTGAGGCGGTCAACAGTTGCCTCCGTTATACGCATCTTTCAACAAACCAACAGGTAAGTATTGCATTTTACATGGATTGTTTCTATTCTCACTTGACATGTCAATATGGTCATACAGTAATGCATATGTTGAATTTTTTGTCTTTCTAAAGAATGCAATGTCTTCCACCCTCTGGGGGAAGAGGAAAGCTCCTCAGTAATGACCAGGAGCTTGCCATTGTAGAAATGGTTACTGCAAATAATGCAATAAAACTGCGTGAAATTCAAACTAGAATTGTGGCGGACCATGAGATATTTGACAATATCGATAGAATCAGCCTCACAACCATTACGCGGACATTGTCCAAACACAGAGTGCGGATGAAGCAGCTTTACGCTGTTCCCTTTGAGAGGAACAGTGAGAGGGTCAAGGAGCTACGACGACAATATGTCCAGGTATAGTGTATATTCAATCCAATGTCCAGTTCTATAAGCTTTGCACTTTGCAAGTAGGTAACCTACACAATACTAGGTTACAGTACAGTATGGTATACAGTAATAACATGACTTACATAAACTTTGTTTCAGAGAGTTATGGAATTGGAGGCCAACCAGGCCCCTCATAAATTCATATACATCGATGAGGCAGGATTCAATCTGGCCAAAAGGCGTCGACGTGGACGAAATGTAATTGGAAAAAGGGCCACAGTTGATGTGCCAGGACAGAGAGGGGCAAACATTACCATGTGTGCAGCAATTGCAAATGCAGGATTACTCCTTCACAGATGTCAGGTTGGACCCTATAATACAGAGCGCTTGCTTGCCTTTCTCAATGATCTCCACCAGCGCCTGGTTCCAGAGCAGGGTCAGGAGGGTGAAAACATGAGGACCTTTGTAATTACCTGGGACAATGTGGCTTTCCATCACTCGCAAGCAATAACAACATGGTTTGAAGTCCACCCAAGACTGGTAAGTCTCTTCCTTCCACCCTATTCACCTTTCCTCAACCCCATAGAGGAGTTCTTTTCTGCATGGAGGTGGAAGGTTTATGACCATCAGCCACATGACCAGATGTCCCTCCTCGAAGCCATGGATGCTGGCTCCAGGGACATCACAGTTGACGATTGCCAAGGGTGGATCCGACATACCAGGCGATTCTATCCCAGGTGCATCGACTTGGATAACATCAGATGTGATGTTGATGAAAACATGTGGCCTAACCCTGAAGATCGCAGAGATTAGATGCAAAGTTTTTGCCTTTTTTTAGCCCCCCTCCCCCCCTTTTGATCTTGGCTTTTTGCTGTTGTTTTTTTGTTCAGAATGCTCTTGTGTGTTTCATGGATATTTTGTTCACTGTAAGCAATACTGTAAAACTTTCTCTGTCCTATCATACTGTGTTTCTACTGTACCTCCTGTAGTAAACAGTAAAGAAACATAAACTTGTTTGCTTTTTACTGGAATGCTTTTGAATGTGAACATTACTGTACATGTGGACATACAGTTACCAACCAAGACATTTCTGGTGTCAAAATGGTGGATTGCATGTTTCGCATGCAAATACCTGTAAAACTGAAACATAAAAGTCTATGCAGTTTTTGTAATGTCAATAATAGCCAGTATTTTGAAACCTGGTGTACTTTGATTGACTGCATGTACCTTGTGAAGTGAAAACAAGTGTTATTCTTTGACAGACTAATTTCATTTTGAGTCAGATTTATAGTGTTTTTGTACAGTTAGTGTGTGCAGAGAAAGATGTGTTCTATTTTGAAATGAAGAGTTAGTATATAGTTAACAAAATGTATTTTTGAGAAGAAAATTATCCATTTGGCCAATTGTGTTTTGTAGGTGTGAGTCTGTGTTAAGAGTTTAGAAAAAGTATCTGAAGTATGGGTAGGCGCTTGTTAGCGATTGAAAAAAACTGTAAAAGCCACATGCTCTAATTTTAGAAAGGAAATCTATTTTGTACTTATCGGTAACACACAAGTTATGTTGCTTATGTTTTTTTACTGAACAGTGAATGAACAACATTCCAATATTTTCTAACGACCGGTAAAAATATATACCGTATACATACGACAGCCTACCAGGAAAAGTAATTAATCGCCTTCTTCGTCTTCCTCCTGAGCACTAAAACCATCAAAGTCGTCTTCTTCAGTGTCCAAATTGAACAGCCTTAGGCTCTCGCCATACACTTCAGTCTCTTTGTTGTCGCTCTCACTTGAGCACAGGTGGTGCTCTTCATCACGCAGCAGTCCAGCCTTTTGAAATCTGTTGGTGATGGTGGATGTTTTGACACAGCTCCACACATTTAGGATCCATTGGCAGACTTTAGTTAAAGATGCTCTTTGCATGCGGCCTGTTTTGGTAAATGATTTCTCGCCGCTTGTCATCCAAGCCTCCCACTCAAGGCGCAGTGCCACTTTAAATGCCTGGTTCACGCTGATGTCCAGTAGGGCTGCCACGATTTGTCGACTAGTCACGATTACGTCGACTATCAAAATCGTCGACGACTGATTTAATAGTCGACGCGTCGTTTGAAGCTTTGTAAGATCCCAAAAGACCCAGGAATAAGTAGCAGGATTTAAGAGTGTAATAACGGACTGAAACAGAAGATGGCAGCACTGCATGTACAAGGATGCCAGCTGCCGTTAAACCCCGAAGAAGAAGAAGAAGAAGAAGCAGCTTTGTCCCAGAATTCATAGCGCGGCCCAGCTTAGTTTCCAACAATGGCGGTAGCTAGTTAGTTTTAATATTACTCTTATTATTCTTTCTGGGTCACAAAATAAACGTTTAACATATTTTCAGGCGAGAATGTAGCTGTGTAAACCTCAAATATCGGCTCAGTTTATCAGGACACCACATATTTTCAAAAGCGCTCCGACGTTTTCGGAGACATCTGTTACCCACTAGCTCGATAGCTAGCCGGGGGCTAGGTCACTAGCGCTGTGAGAACACCGGACTCCCGGCAAATTGTTTTCAAACCCACCGCCGTCTTTCGCTACTCAGGTTAAATATATATGAGTCACTTAGATAAATTAAAAATGTTGTTGTTTGGCTTTTTTTTTCAGTATTTTAGTTGTTCCTGAGTAAATCGGTTTGTCTGAGATTAAAGTTATAGTTTTTACACAGCTGAATAAACGTCAAGCAGACAGCTGATCATCAGAAGTGTGAGATGCTGGAGAATTTACTCCGGTGTCCTGTTATATTTTAGATAGCAAGGAGTTTATTAAACTCCACCGAGACAATCTGCTAATTTCATTAAAATTGAATAAACTATCATCTTGTCTTTATTTTTAGTTAGCACCTTAAAAGCTTAAAGCTGTAAGCTAATGATAGTTATATAAGAGTAGATGCTGCTGGTGAAATAAGCTGTAGTTTTACGTCCAGTGGATGATGATCTGATTAGTCGACTAATCGCATAAATAATCGGTGACTAGTCGACTATCAAAATAATCGTTTGTGGCAGCCCTAATGTCCAGTGACTTCAAATACTTAGTGCTGCCCCAAGGAATCACAGCTGGAATTGAGTTTGTACTCTTGTTAGCAGTTTTTGCTGAATCTGTTATATGGGCCGTCATGCTGTCCATAACAGCAATGCTTTTTTTCTGTGAAAAAATCCCCCAGCCGCTAAAAAATCACCGTCGGTGGAAGCTTTAGCCTGGATGCTGTGTAGCTCAGAACACAAGTAAAATGCGTTCTCTCATGGTCACTTGTTTTCTGTGTGATGGAC